ATTACACTACAATCATCAATTTACATCTCAAAAAAATGCAATCTCTCAAGACTATGACTATACAAAAAAAAGAAAAAACTGAGAATGTTAGGTGTTAGGATGCGTTGCTCACTTCTTTATATAGAAGTAACTTGGGCTACAGCAACTGTGAAGAATTCTAGCTTAATTGAGGTGAAGTCAAGTGGCCACATTTGATTGTCAGGAATCTGGCTTATAAACATGCACCATAGAGGCAGACTAATTATCAAATTCAATCTTGCGAAAATAATTACGTAAGCTGTATGTGAAAAAAAGGTGATTGTGAGTATAAGAAAAGTTTTATGGTTATAGTTAATAAAAAGTATGAGCACTGCATGGTTGATGGATGTGTCATACCAAAGTTTTATTTCCGTAGTTTAGGAGAAGTGGAAACATTGTCCCTAAGTAAAACGTGCTCAAGCCGTTTTATCTTCTGCCAAATTGAATCATTTTATTGGCGCAGAACAATAATTGCTTTATAAAAATAAGGATCAATGTATCGAGCATACACCGACTGGCTAACGACAAATTTATGTCAAATGTCTGTCAAATTTATGTCGAAACCCAGCAATTCTAAGATTCACGAGTTCTATGGACGAGCAATTGTGACTGCTCTTGCACTATTATGCACAAACTAAATACCATGAAATATTCAATTAATCAATTGATTGTCAAACCTGAGGTATTGTCAATGCTTTTTCTGCGAAGATAACCGTTGGAGATGAGGTTAATAATTTGGTTCGAGATGATGGTTTTTTAGACTATAGGAACACAGTAAAATTCAATAGGATTTTTAACAAAAATCAAAAGTACAACAGCAACAGTCAAAAATCAGAATTTTTAGATGCTTTCGAGTAACAATCGAGAGTTAGGGAAGTTTGGTTCAGGGATTTTTAATTGGCTAGTAAAATAGTGATTAATTGGATGCTTTATTCCATAAGTGGATTCCACTAATTTTGCTAGAATCTTCAAGATTCATGCTCTAGAATTATTACAAATAGCACTCCTATTGAAATATTCTGATAAGATCACATTTTCTTCAAAAATCAATTTCAAAAACCAATGTTTGACATTTTACGAATGGTTGAGAAATGGCATGCAACACAAATTTGCTAGTCGACGATCAAGGGGCAAGTACGTCATCAACGGTCATTGAGCAACACTTGTTCTATTATATGGTATAACTGCAAACTAATGAGAATCACTAAATTTAAGTATGCTCATAAATAACGCACCAGATTAGGCAATGAATAGGTAAATAATTACGCCTCTTCTGGTCTTGTTCCAGCATTTATTTCCAAAGGGAATCCAAAAGAGGTAAGTCAAAAGGGAATTCACTGTTATTATATATATTTTTTCTAATATATATTATTTATTTATTTATTTATTTATAAGCGAAACTTGAGATTGTTAGGAATGACTGGGGCAGCCATTTGTTGAAAGACTACATAAATGACATATTAAGAAAATGCAGT